CCCTAATATACACATTTTCCCCATTCAGTAAAATGACAAGCACTCAAAAATTGGCCACTTTTAGTAGCCATTTTGACCTTCGTGGTGACAGGTAAGGCCTTTTGGCCTTGGACAGCTGCAGTCATAAATTCTAATCGAAGTTGTCCAGATATTTCCTAAACTGGATTCTTTTACCATTAATTATATAAACAAGTTACCATATTAAGAATGCTATTTACCATACTTAATACCCCTTTTCATGTCATTAGATAATTAGATGCTGGACAAGTCCCTTCAAGTCCAGCTGAGCAATCTGCATTTAATCACCCTTGCAAGTTTCCACATCACCTCCTTTGAAATACAAGTTGGCCCCCAAGTGCCAAGGTGAGCTTGCATAAAATTAACATAGCAAAGAGTCCTTGGCTATCCATCTAGCTCAGTCAAATGCTAGTCTGGTCAATAACATCAACTTGCACTATATATATATATATATATATCTATATATATAGCATCCCTACAAAAACAGAAAATGCTGGATGGGATTTTATCGGTTCAATAAATTTACTACTGCTTGTAAAAAAAGGCCAGAAGAGCCCTTATTTGTGAACAATGTTCCAGCGCATTTCAATTTTTTGAACGTCCCTGAAGAAGACATATGACATTCAAAAGTTGAAAACGCGTTGGTGTGTTGTTCACAAATAAGGTTTCTTTCTGTTTTTTTCTGATTAATGAAGTTGAGATGGACTGTTATATGATTTTATATAAAAAAGCTGTGGATATCACTGTGACTTTTGGTCTGTTTTTAATGAACTTTTTTTATATGATAAAACTTTATTAATCTATTGTTGCTTACAAGCAGTAGTGCATTTAAGGTGTTTGGTAAAATCCTAACTAGCATTTTATGTTTTTGTACATGAAGTAGGTAGACTTTCCCTCATTTCCTGTTCTGTCCAACACTGTCAAATGGACCAGAAGTAGGTAGATGTACCCTCATTTGACTATTATGACGCCCGTCAAAGAGATTAAGAAGAAATATGCTCATGACCAGGGGCGGACTGACCATTTGAAAACTCGGGCACTGCCCGAGGGCCCGGGGTCAGTAGGGGGCTTCATCATGAGATGCCCCTGGTACCTTTTTCATAGGCTTTTTTGAGTTTGGGCAAGGAAAAACAGGGGCCCCATGATCCCCTATTGCCCGGGGGCCCCATGAGTTTTCAGTCCGCCCCTGCTCATCCCTTACAAGCCCATCACAGTGGGTGACCATCTTCGGTTGGCTAGGTTCCAATAACGGAGCAGGAGTTTGTCCTATGCTCTGAATTACCAGTGAGTCCCCAAAAAGAAACAGCCACTCCATGGTGCTCCAATAAAATACCATGCAAATGTGGCTTTGTTCTTCCAAGTAAACATGAAACCCCACCTTGGATGGCCAGTGATGTGATTCTCCATAAACCGGGCTTTAATCAGTCAGAGCCAGGAAGGGGAAGGTATTTATGCAGTCATACTAGAACTAGCAAATAGTAGAATTGGGGGGGGGGGGGGTTTCTTTCATCTCTTGTTCGGTTGGAAACTGTTCAAAAGAAAGATTTTCCCTCATTTTTCATTGTGTCCTGGCACCTGGCAAATAATAAAAAAGAAAAAAAAGAAAAAAAGGTAGGTAGATGTTCCTACAGGGAGTTGTAAGTAGAACAGAGATTTAAACTGACTTTAGACTTTTGCATTTTTGGAATTACGCTGCACTGGGGCCATCCATAGTCAGTCCCTGCTGGGTCTGGGCTCTGGTATATATATATATATATATATATATATATATATATATATATATATATATATATATATACACACACATACACACACACAAAGCTCCACATTTTGTTTTTTTTTTTTCAGATTGAACGTCTTCATGCGACAACGGCATTGGAGAAAACCCATTTTATTTCCCTTGTACTGGTCTCATCGGATTGCTGCCCTGAGCTCTCGTGCCTCTTAATACTTATCTCTCCATTCAGTTTGGACGTGTTCTGTAGAAAGCCGCATGAACAGTTTTTCCAAAGCCTGACCTTTACAGCTACCGATTCAACAACTGCGTTTGTAACACATAAATAACTATAGTTCCATCTCCTTTTCTTTTTTTTTTTTCTTTCCTTTTTTAATCTCCTTTTCATAAAGGGAAAGTCCTTTAAGGTACAGATCCAATTCCACATTCACACTCTTCAAGTACACATCTAATTAAAACCAATCCAAAAGAAGTCACCCTCGAGGGCATCGGGAAGAAGGAGAAAACACAACATGTCGAGGTATTATGTGTGAGAGAGACATCAAAGTTAGCATTACGGGAGGCCGAGGAACAAGTGCGCTTTAATAAAATGCCAATCTTTGCCACGCCAACAGACACCTATCATGCCAAGTAAAGATTGGAACTTCATGTTCTCTATCATCCAAGAAAAGTCTTGAAGAAAAGCATAATCTATGCAAATCAAATGACGAAATGGATTTAAATTGAAAGGCAAGTAGATATTGTTTTGTAACATGGAAATCCCACTCATTGTCACACTCAGAACTAATGTAGTAGAGTCCAATTTTAGAACAGGAAATAAGGGAAAATCTCCATATTTCTGTCACTTGAAAGATCTCTGAAAAAATGAAATAAAGGAACACCTTCTTAAGTCTACTATTTGCCAGTTCTATGAATGGAAAATACCTCTCCCTTCCTGTAATGCCTTGTCTCGATGAGTAATCCCAGTTTTTGGGTCAATTGCATTAGTAGAGATCTAGGGTGGAGATTTGTGTTTTCCCTGTAGTCCCTTAAGAAGAAGTCGGAAGTGACAAAACGCGTCAGAGGCGTGACGTCAGACGCAATACTGGAAGGAGCGGCGCGGCCATCTTGGTTTTGGAATTTGGCTGTGTGAATTACTAGAAGGATGGATGGGTCCTATGCCTGATGTAAGATGGAAATAAAATATATGTGTTACCCTTATATACTCCACTGAATTTGTCCTTTCTGCCTTATGAGGAGCGGGGGAGATTGAAGTGGATACATCCGCAGGGAGGAAGTAATAACTACCCTGGAGTGTTTGTACTGCTAGATTTAACAGAGAGAGGGTAATTGTATGAAATCCTACTAAAGTGTGGAACCACTTAATTGAGCACATTATCACGGATTGTGTAATTGCTGTGGATTTATTTTCACGAGTGAAGAGTCACAGATTGTATATTTACAAATTGGAGCATTTAGTATGTTTATTTAGTGTCACAGAGTGCTGTGTATTTTGATTCACTTTATATAAGTGCATATACACATAAAATTTAAAAATGTTTTTCTTTTTTTTTTTCTCACTAGTGGTGTGCATGTACTCATTATGTTTGTTTTTGTATAAGGGTAATGCACTATATGTAGTTTTTCTAATTTTTTTGAGGTATCCGGGATTCTCTCACGATTTGGAAGATTGAAAAACAGTAGTTGTGGAAACTTTGGACTATATTTGTTGTGGACATTTTGGACTTATTTTGGTTATTTATAGGAAGTTTTATAGTGTATATAGGTTTTGTAGAAAAGGTTTTATATATATTTTGCACTTTCAAGGGTGAAAGTTTAACTTTTCATAGGGGGATTACAGTCAGAGTGTTATTTATTATTATTTGTGTTTTCTTGTCTGGAACAATAAAGTTAGCTTTCCTTGGAAATTTAATAGAGTGCCACTTTTTTTTTTTTTTTTTTGGGACTCGCTAGCAATTAAGGGCATAGGACAATCCCCAGTTCAGTTCCTGAAATCTGTTTACCAAGCAGTCACCCACTGTGATGGGCTTGTGAGTGGGGAACATATTTCTTCTAGATCTATTTGAGAGGTATCAGATAAAACAGAAAATGAGAGAACATCTACATATTTCTTGTCTATATTCCAGGTGTCAGACAGACCAAGCAATGAGGGAAAATCTCCCTAATTCTGTTTCTTGACCGGGCTCCAACAAACCAAAAATTAGGCAAAACCTTCCTAATTCTAATACATGTTATTCCTATGGCATAAAGATTGGAACTTTAAGTGTTCTCAATCCACCAAGAAATGTCTTGAAGAAAAGCATAATTTATGCGAACCAACTGAAGAGATGGATTTAAATTGAAATGCACGTAGATATTGTTGTGTAACATGGAAATCCCACTCATTGTCACACTCATAACCAAGGTAGTAAAGTCCAATTTTAGAACAGGAAATGAGAGAAAAACCCCTATAATACTGTTACTTGACAGGCCTCTGACAATATGAGGAATGAAGGAAAACCTTCCTAAGTTTACTAATGGCTAGATCTACGATTGGATAAATACCTCTCTCTTCCTGTACCTCCTCATCTCTAAGATTAAGCCCAGTTTTTGGCTGAAATCAATCAGTGGAAGTCTTGGGACTCACTGGAGATTTAGGGCATAGGACTAGCTCCTGCTGTGATGGGCTTATGAGTGGCAAACATATTTCTTCTAGATTGGTTTGACAGGCTTCAGACAAAACAGGAAATGAAGGAACATCTACCTACTTTTTTTTTTCTTTTTTACTATTTGCCAGGTGCCAGGACACAATGAAAAATGAGGGAAAATCTCTCTTGAACAGTGTCCAACCGAACAAGAAATGAAAGAAAACCTCCCTAATTCTACTATTTGCTAGTTCTAGTATGACTGCATAAATACCTTCCCCTTCCTGGCCCTGATTGAGTAAGCCCGGTTTATGGGGGAATCACGTCACTGGCCATCCAAGGTGGGGTTTCATGTTTACTTGGAAGAACAAAGCTACATTTGCATGGCATTTTAATGGAGCACCATGGAGTGGCTGTTTCTTTTTGGGGCTCACTGGTAATTCAGAGTATAGAACAAACTCCTGCTCCGTTATTGGAACCTAGCCAACTGAAGATGGTCACCCACTGTGATGGGCTTGTAAGTGATGAGCAGGGGCGGACTGACAACTCATGGGGCCCACGGGCAATAGGGGATCATGGGGCCCCTGTGTCCTTGCCCAAACTCAAAAAAGCCTATGAAAAAGGTACCAGGGGCATCTCATGGGGCCCCCTACTGACCCCGGGCCCTCGGGCAGTGCCCGAGTTTCCAAATGGTCAGTCCGCCCCTGGTGATAAGCATATTTCTTCTTAATCTCTTTGGCCGGCGTCATAACAGTCAAATGAGGGTACATCTACCTACTTCTGGTCCATTTGACAGTGTTGGACAGAACAGGAAATGAGGGAAAGTCTACCTACTTCATGTACAAAAACAGAAAATGCTAGATAGGATTTTAACAATACCTTAAATGCACTACTGCTTGTAAGCAACAATAGATTAATAAAGTTTTATCATACAAAAACAGTTCATTAAAAACAGACCAAAAGTCACAGTGATATCCACAGCTTTTTATATAAAATCATATAACAGTCCATCAACTTCATTAATCCACAGAAAGAAGAAGCCTTATTTGTGAACAAACCTACGTGTTTCAACTTTTGAATGTCATATGTCTTCTTCAGGGACGTTCAAAAGTTGAAATGCACTGGAATATGGTTCACAAATAAGGGCTCTTCTGGCCTTTTTTTTACAAGCAGTAGTAAATTTATGGAACCGATAAAGTCCCATCCAGCATTTTCTGTTTTTGTAGGGATGCTCTATATATATATATATATATATGGTGCATGTTGACGTTATTGACCAGGCTAGCATTTGACTGAGCTAGATGGATAGCCAAGGACTCTTTGCTATGTTAATTTTATGCAAGCTCACCTTGGCACTTGGGGGCCAACTTGTATTTCAAAGGAGGTGATGTGGAAACTTGCAAGGGTGATAAAATGCAGATTGCTCAGCTGGACTTGAAGGGACTTATTCAGCCTCTAATTATCTAATGACATGAAAAGGGGTATTAAGTATGGTAAATAGCATTCTTAATATGGTAACTTGTTTATATAATTAATGGTAAAATAATCCAGTTTAGGAAATATCTGGACAACTTTGATTAGAATTTATGACTGCAGCTGTCCATCAAATTCATTAATCCACAGAAAGAGGCCTTACTTGTGAACACACCAACGCGTTTCAACTTTTGAATGTCATATGTCTTCTTCAGGGATGTTTAAAAGTTGAAATGCGCTGGAATATTGTTCACAAAATAAGGGCTCTTCTGGCCCTTTTGTGAGGATTGACAAAATTGCTGAACTATATAAGTGACAGTGTATTTAACAAATTCTCCAAAAAGCAATAATCCTACAATCACCTTAATCCCCAAATTTTTACAAAAATATATAAATCCACTACAAATATAAAGTCCACTACAATTCTTTTTCAAGTCCACTAAAATATCCAATCAATTCTTCCAACGATATTCATAAAAATGTCCACCTCAAAAAAAGGAAAATTCACATAGTGCATTATCTTCCACAAAAAATATATATATAAAAAAAACTTTCATATACTTCCTACAGTGAATATAGGTGAAAACAGTGAAAAACGTGAACCAAACGTGATCAGTGAAAAACAAATCAGTGTACATAACACTCTTTTAGTGCCGCATCAAAAACTCAGATTCAAAAAGTGTACACTTCTATTTGCAGTAAGGGTACCCTTACCAACCATCCCAATATGGTAAGCTTTATAATAATCCAGGAACTTCACAGGCTAGACCTCTTAGATCCCTAAGAGGTCTAGCCTGTGAAGTTCCTGGATTATTATAAAGCTTACCATATTGGGATGGTTGGTAAGGGTACCCTTACTGCAAATAGAAGTGTACACTTTTTGAATCTGAGTTTTTGATGCGGCACTAAAAGAGTGTTATATACACTGATTTGTTTTTCACTGATCACGTTTGGTTCACGTTTTTCACTGTTTTCACCTATATTCACTGTAGGAAGTATATGAAAGTTTTTATATATATATTTTTTGTGGAAGATAATGCACTATGTTTATTTTTCTTTTTTTGGGGTGGACATTTTTATGAATATCGTTGGAAGAATTGATTGGATATTTTAGTGGACTTGAAAAAGAATTGTAGTGGACTTTATATTTGTAGTGGATTTATATATTTTTGTAAAAATTTGGGGATTAAGGTGATTGTAGGGTTATTGCTTTTTGGAGAATTTGTTAAATACACTGTCACTTACAGTATATGGTTTGGTACACTTTCAGGGGAAGGTGTTGATTGTGTTGTGGGGTAATTATAGTACTAAGGAGGTGGTTAATTTATGAAAATTGCTGAACTGTTATGTGATTTTGTGCAATAAGCTGTTGTTTTTACTGTGACTTTTGCTCTGGTCTATTGAACTTTTTTTTGTATAATAACAGTTTATTAATCTTTTGTTGCTTACAAGCAGTAGTAAATTTATGGAACCGATAAAATCCCATCCAGCATTTTCTGTTTTTGTAGGGATGCAATTTAAAATGTAATTTAGCCTGCATGAATGTACTATGTTCTCTACCTACTTCCTCTTTATTTGATGGGTGTCAGACAGAAGAGTAAATAAGGGAAAATCTACCTACTTCTTATCTATTTGATGGGTTTCTGACTGTTCAAACATAACTCCACTAATGTATGGCCAGCTTAAAGGCTGGAGGCATAACAAAGTATAATTAGACAGGTTATGGTGAGGTTGGCTACAAGTAACCAAAACCCTCTACAGAACCAGCATGAAGCACAGCAGAACCTTGTTCATTTTCATCACAAACCTCAAAAATAAAGGGCTTATTCCTCTAACACCCTCCAGGTTAGTTAGGTAGTTTTTGTGAGATAGAGGCTGTGTAGCAGCCTGGGGATGAGTCAGCCTGGGGAGTGAGGTTACCTCAGGACAGGCTGGGAGGCTCTCACAGGTCAGGGCTTCTGGAGCCCTCTCACCTCTCCAAAAATCTGAGATCTTTGTGGAGGAGGGGAGGAAGCCTAGATCTGCATGTGTGAGGGACCCTGGCCAATTCCTTGGCAGGAGGCTGGGCGGGTGCAGTGTTGGGTGGTAGATGCATTGAGGAAGGCTGGAGTGTGGAGCCTGGGAGGGGGCCCCAGGGAGGGGAGCTTACCTAAAGGCTGGTCGCTGGAGAAGAGTATCTCCACTGCCTGTCTCCTGGAAAGGACGGCCTGTATAGCAGGCAGGGAGCCATGTAAGGCCTGAAGGCAGCCACCAACCGCAACTAGCTTCTCATCTGGGACTGTTCAAATGACAGCTTTTGGGCCCCCTTGCTCAGGGAATACCCTCAGGCATTTGGGTGAAGAGAAGTAATCATACAGGGTCTGAGGAGGTACCCCTAAGTGCCTTTGGTACTCTTCAAGAAAAGACTGTTGCTGATCTGAATCTTTGTACATAGTTGTTAAGGAGTTTTATTCAAATTCTACAGTTCCTCAGGCATCCCATATACCCCTAGACCCTATCCAAGTTTAACTGCTTAATAAAAACCACAAAACCGCTTAACAAAAACCACAAAACCAAGCTCAAGGACTGCTTACTGATCCCAGTGTGCAAAGTGTGAAAATACGTGTTGCCCAGCCGTGCAGAGCATAGGGGGACCCAGTTCAAATGCAGTGTCCCTTATGATGAGGGTTGTGCTACATTCATTTTTAAGGAACGTTGGTGGAGCCATTATTATTATATTATTATACAGTATTTATAAAGCGCCGATAGTTCGCTCAGCGCTATACATTACAAAGGGGGACAGAACATGTGACAGAACAATACCAATACAATGCAAAACATGAGGGGATTGAGGGCCCTGCTCTTTCGAGCTTACAATCTAGGAGGGAGGGGATGGTGGCACAGGAGAAGATAGCTGTGGGGGATGGGGTGGTAGGAAGAGTGGAGGAGGTCGGCAGGTTAGCAGGGGGTGGGGTAGGCTTCCCTGAAGAGATGGGTTTTCAGGGTGCGCCTAAAGGAGAGGAGAGTAGGTGATAATCTGATGGGTTGGGGCAGGGAGTTCCAGAGGATGGGTGACACCCTGGAGAAGTCCTGGAGGCGGGCATGGGAGGAGGAGACCAGGGAACTAGAGAGAAGGAGGTCTTGTGAGGAGTGGAGTGTGCATGCTGGGTGGTACTTGGATATTAGGTCGGTGATGTAGTTCGGGGCAGTATGGTGTACAGCTTTGTATGTCAGTGTTAGGATTTTGAATTTGATCCGTTGCGCAATCGGAAGCCAGTGGAGGGATTGGCAGAGGGGGGTGGCGGAGATGGAGCGGTTGTAAAGGTGAATGAGTCTGGCTGCCGTATTCAGGATCGACTGAAGCAGGGATACCCAGCGGTGAGGCAGGCCAGTGAGGAGGGAGTTGCAGTAGTCGAGTCGTGATATGATGAGGGAGTGGATGAGCTGTTTAGTGGTTTCTGGGGTTAGGAATGTACGGATTTTGGCGATGTTGCGGAGGTGGAGTCCGCAACATCGCCCTCCTTTTTTTTTAATCATGAAGTGGTTGAAGGATCAGAGCCTCTCTGTACATAGAGGAGATTATCTTTCACTTTAAGACAGGAAATAACGGGAGATTTCTCCAGCGAGGGATCTGGTTTAGGCACTTCTAGTTGGGGTGACAACTGTCTACCAATATGCGCATGCATTGCCATCTTGTCACATGATCCACCTGTGCTACACATTGCGCAGGCATGGTCCACCACTGTCACCATGGGGAAGCCAGTATGCAGCAGTAAAAGGGCATAGTCGTAGGCTAAGCCCTACTCGATGAAACACGTCATTACATTACATCGAGTTTATATACTGTAGCGCCAAAGGGTTTGCTCAGTGCTGTACAATAGAGGGGGGGACAATACATGAAACAGTACAGCAACTACAAACAGCACACGAGGGGTAGAGGGCCCTACTCTTTCGAGCTTACAATCTAGGAGGGAAGGGGTAGTGGTACAGGAGGAAGTGGCTGTGGGGGATGGAGTGGTAGGAGGAATGAAGGAGAACGGCTGTTAGGTGAGGGTGGGGTAGGCTTCCCTGAAGAGATGGGTTTTCAGGGAGCGCCTGAAGGTGAGGAGGGAAGGTGACAGTCTGATGGATTGGGGTTGTGAGTTCCAGAGGATGGGGGAAGACCTGGAGAAGCCTTGCAGTCTTGCGTGGGAGGTGGAGACCAGGGAGCAAGATAGAAGGAGGTCCTGAGAAGAGCGAAGGGTACGGGTAGGGTGGTACCTGGGAATCAGGTTGGTGAGGTAGTTAGGGGCAGTGTTGTGAATGGCTTTGTAGGTCAGAGTGAGTAGTTTGAATTTGATGCGTTGGGTAATAGGGAGCCAGTGGAGGG